GAAGTATATACCCAAACCTGCCCCAAATGGGACAAAATTTGTACCACGACATGTTGATGCCGCTACATGATAGCATGCCAAGTTTCATGAATTTCAAACGAGTTTTGGATTTACTAGAATTTAAAAACCAGGCATCTCAATATTTTGTCGGCAATCAACGGTGCCCTAGTGTTTCAAATTCATTCCCATTTCTTGCATGGGACCTGAGCATGCACACAAGGACACATATTTGATTTTTCAAACAGTTTATATGCACTGGAGCATGTGCATGTAGTTCAAATTTGAATTATGCACATAAATGCATTGAAAACTCAGTTAATGCATAAAAATGTCCAAATGAACCCCGAAAAATCACAAAAACTCGCACAACACTCATGTTGTTCTATGTCTACACTCGATTTTTTTTAAAAGCAATAAGAGGCAACGGATATCGTTTTCTCCCCAAAGGTGGCACGTTCCCTACCGAAACCACCACGCTTGTTGTGAGAAGGTCTGGTTTGTGAGAATCTTATACCCAAACCTGCCCCAAATGGGACAAAATTTGTACCATGACATGTTGATGCCGCTACATGATAGCATGCCAAGTTTCATGAATTTCAGACGAGTTTTGGATTTACTAGAATTTAAAAACCAGGCATGTCAATGTTTGCGTTCAAGTGAGGGTGGCAGGATGTTTGAAATTCATTCCCATTTCTTGCAGGCGACCAAAGCATGCAACCAAGGACACATATTTGTTTTTTCAACTAGTTTATATGCACTAGAGCATGTGCATGTAGTTCAAATTTGAATTATGCGCATAAAATGCCTGGAAAACCCAGTTAATGTATAAAAATGTACAAACGAACCCTGAGTCATTCCAATTTTTTCGACGACACACCTATAGTTGCATGTTCACTGCATATATAAGTTTTAACAATTCAAACACCATCCTTAGTAGCTGTGACCCCATTACGTAATTCAAATGATCAAGACAATAAATCAAATAGATCACACACAGTTTATTATCACCAACCGTGTGAGATGCAACACAAAATATCTTGGAGCACCGTCGGTGTATAGTACGCCCATGGCTTATGAGAGAAGGTGCGTCGGCTATAGTCCACAACGCGCCAGTTCTGAATAAGGGACCGTGTCCGATGACACTTTGCGCGCCAGTTTTTGGCTGAAGCGATTCCAAATTTTCGGCTTCCACGGAAATATCTACCTCCCCACCCCTCCCCCTTACCAAAAGCCACATTTCCCCTCTTTTCGCCTTCCTTTCCAAGTTGAAACCTTCACTCCTTGCTTGCAGCGCCGCCGCCTCCTCACCGACGACCCTCCTTCATGCTCCTCGGCCTCGCCTATCCAGGCAGGTAATCCACACCTGACCCCCATCCTCCTCCTCCTTTCACATCCCACATGCCCCTACTGCCGGCGCGAGCGCGACACCTTCCACCCAAATCACCGACCCCTCCACCAAATAAGCACCGGCCTGAGCCATGGTTCACGTAGTATAGCCAGGACCTCAAGGAGCATTTGGCAGCGGAGAAGCAAATCACGGCCGCACGCGCGGATGAGGTCGCGATGGCTGCCATTCGTGTCGACCCCCAAATCTTGAAGGAGCACCTTGCCATTTGCTAGCTACGCCGATTATGCATGCTCGGTTTACCCATTGTGTGTGCTGCTCCTGCCTTTCCTTCACAAATTCTAGTGAATTGTGCTATCTAATTTTACCATGCAATCTGTTGCTCTAGTGTATATGTTCTATATGTCGTGCAGTGTGGTGCTCACTTATTAACTGTTTTCTTAATTAGTTGTCGTCTTTAGTTAACTGTTTGGTTGAATTCTGCAAATGTGATGTTCAATTCTTCAGGCTGCAATTTTGTATTGTCTTCCATGTGAGGAATAAATCAAATTTATCTTTACAAAATTGTGGGTGCATTCTGTTATTGTATACCATGTGAGGAATAAATTGGATTTAGCTGTAGTAAATACATGAGAAACAAATACAATTGCTATAATTGGCTGTAGTTAACTGTTTGGTTAACTGTCTGATCTTCTATTAGGAGTATGTTATATTGTGTAATGTGGTGCTCAGTTAATGTTTGGTTCATTTGTTGTGGTGTTTAGTTAACTGGTTGGTTCAATGTTATATTGTGCAATGTGGTGCTCAGTTAATGTTTGGTTCATTTGTTGTGGTGTTTAGTTATCTGCTTGGTTCAATTCTGCAATGCGATGTCCAATTGTCGTGGGTAGAATTTTGTATTGTTGTGCATGTGAGGAATAAATCGAATTTGGTTGTACTTAATACATGAGAAACATATACAAGTGCTATATTTCCTAGTTCTTAAATATGCTTGGTTTGGATAAATGGGTTTTCCATGTGGCTTGAATTAATCTGATGAATCTGCAATGTGATTATTTCATCAACATATTTTACTGATCGCATGCGAACCCTTACTTAACCTGATGACTAACTACCTTATATGTGTTGCAGGGAAACAATGGGAAGCACTGAGGTTTACAATCGAGGTTAGAACGTGCATGGTCCATTGTCTAATACTACATTATTGTGCAATTGCAGGAACCATTCTAATATTTAGGTTTTTAACAATTTGGTCTTGCACATGTAGGTCCTGCTGTCAGAGGTTTTGACCCACTGTTCGACCCTTTTTGCATATGGGGAAATGAGTTATCCATGAATATCAGTCAATTCAAGAAACTCAAAAAGATTGTTAGGATAAAGAAATTAGTGACAAGAAACAACAAGATCTTTGTCAGCACAATGAAGAAGATATCAGATCACTACAGGATGATACTAATTATTATACCTTGCTTTTTTTATGAGAAAACTTTGTTTTTGCCACTCTAGTTTTTGCCCACTTTGCTTATGCCACTCTAGAATTTGACATATCACTTTTTCCACTCTTAGATTTTGACAATACATCACAAATGCCATTCAGTGTCAAAAATGATAATTTTTCATTTCACTTTTGCCACTCTTAGGTTTTGCAATGTATCACAATTGCCACTCTGAAAATTTTGGTTTTGCCACTGAATGGCAAAATTGATATATTGTCAAAAGCTAAGAGTGGCAAAAGTGAAATGTTAAATTCTAGAGTGGCATGAGCAAAGTGGGCAAAAGCTAGAGTGGCAAAAACAAAGTTTTCCCTTTTTTATTCCTTTGCCCCATTTCCAATATAGAGAAGATATTTATGCACATCCTTATTTTCAGGCCTTTCCAAAGCAGTTCATTGATGATTACCTCTCAAACCACCTGTATGGTCAGGAGGCGAGGAAGGTATTCATACAACACCCACGGTTCAATATTGAAGTGTTCCTGAAGAGGATGAAGGATGGACGGTCAAGCATCCACAGGCACTGGCCTAAAGTTACAAAGACCTTCAACATCATTGAAGGCTCAATATTCGCCTTCTGCTTCAGTAGTTTTCCAGATGAGATACATCTGTCTATGTACCGTCTATGATGCTAATTTTGAAAGGTTATAGATGTTGCATGTGAAACTTGGTCCTGGTGTAGTTGTGTAATGGGGTAGCTGAGTGCTGAAGCTATATGATGTTGTACTCTGATGTATTTCAATTATGAAAATGAAATATATTGTGTGCTTAATATGAACTATCAATTAGATTAATAAATGGATTATGAATAATCGGATAATTAGCCTGCTAGTGGCGAATTAGCCTGCTAATTGGGTTTTGCTATTGCAAACGGTTGATAAAAAACACCGTGGGTGATGACCTCACGCAACGCACATAGTTTTTAGGAATAAATTATGTTGGATCAATGAACAATTACACACGACTTTCTCTTGAAAACTGTTTGTGTTAGGCCACCTTGCGCAAACGTTTACCATATGAAAACTGTGTGTGATGGACAAGCTTTGCCACACAGTTTCTTCCATGGACCGTGTGTGATATATTCAATAACACAAGCCATTTAACAGGGAAAATTGTGTGTGATGTACCTGCGAATGGAAACGTTTTCCTTCGAGCGACTGTGTGGGATGTACATATGAACGGAAATGTTTAGCGGGGACTGACTGTGTGGGATGTAGGGGCTAATTGGTTTGCAGCCAAATTTTGGCAAGCCAACTATTGGCACGCGCCAAAAATTGGCGGTCGATTGGTTCGACTCGAACCGTGGGCGCGCCAACACACAGCTAGCCAAATATTGGCCGCCTGTCTTCCCCCCACCGCTCACTTTCCCCTCACGGTTCGCCCCGTATCCCCTTATCCTCCTTCGTCCCAGCCCCAAATCCCTAGCCCCTCCATTCCACCGTCCGTACCGCCGCCGGCGACCAGAAGCGCTCAAGGACCTCGGCGATCTCCTGCACCGGTGGGAAATCGTCAGCGAGCCAGACCAGATCCACCGGAGCAATCAAGGTTAGTTCGTGCCCAAATCTGATGGGTCTTTCCTTCTTTCCCTGTGTACACTCTACCCAATCGCTTGCAGTGCCCTCTCATCTGACGCCACAAGCAGATGTACGTGATTATTGTTTCTAGATGTGAGGGGTACTGGTCTCTCTTAGTTCGCATCTGCAGTCCGTTCTCATCTGACTGGACAAGCAGTGCGCTCTTATCTTCTCTTCTCTGTCTTGTACTTGGTGCAGGATTCAGGAACGGTTCAGAGTTATTTTAGTACCTTACATCTGCATAAATCTGAAGCTAAATACCTTGCTTAAAGATTATATGCTGGACTAATTGATGCTAGGATATCACTACAACATGTGCCCTCATACTTTTCCGCTGCCATGGTGGGAGGGCTGACACCTAATACTCTCTTCTAATATATCTGAGGGCCTGAAAGACAGAGCAGTATCATCTTGCTTTTGACAATAAAAGTCACACACCTCTGCTTGTACTATCTGCTTGTACATGCTTTGCATTGCTTTTGACAATAGAATTTTTTTATGTATTGACAAATTATTTACTATCTGCTTGCACATGCTTTGCATTGCTTTTCCATTTTCTTTTATGCTTATGCATCTTATCTTTACTCAGATGGATAATTCTCAACAACAATATCTATATTACTGTATGTGGAAGCAACGCACACTACTTGTCCTTTTTGTAATGTTGGTCCTTTGGTGGAGCAAGAAAAAAGAGAGGAAGAATAGAGCTAAATGTGTCAAGTATGGTCCACTTGTCAAGAGAGATATTTGGAGGAGTACTGAACTAATTAGACTGATCGACACCTCGGAAAGGACGTGTTTGCGCCAGCTCAGGATGTATCCGGCTGTTTTCTACAAGTTGTGTGCTCACCTTAGGGACAAAAAGCTTCTGGTTGACACAATTCATGTGTCCTTAGAGGAGCAGCTAGCTATGTTTTTGAAAATTGTTGGGCAATATCACACTCATTCCTCTGTAGGATTTGCATTGTGGCGATCTGAGGAGACAGTGAGTAGGTATTTTAACATCGTCCTATGTGCCCTTGTGAAGTTAGCCCGTGAAATAATTTGCACTCGGTCTATAGATACACATGTTAAGATCACTACCAACCCAAACAGATTTTATCCCTACTTTGAGGTAACTCTAACCAGTGTGTTATACTAGTTAATTTCCAAACTAAGTTCATTCTAATTCACACATGTTTTATTTTTTTTCTAGGGATGTATAGGGGCACTAGATGGCACCCATATTAGGGCACGTGTGCCTTCAAAATATGTGGACAGGTTTAGGGGCCGCAAGCCATATCCCACACAGAATGTGCTAGCTGCCGTGGATTTCGATCTTAGATTCACGTATGTTCTAGCAGGGTGGGAGGGATCTGCTCATGATTCTGATGTATTGCATGATGCCCTATCTCGTCCAAACGGTCTCAAAATTCCAGAAGGTAATTGCACATTAAAAAATGTTGTTTAGTCTAAGCATAGTAAATTAACTTAAGGTGGTATTCCACTATGTATGTAGGAAAATTTTATTTGGCTGATGCTGGGTATGCCACCAGGCCGGGCATATTGCCACCCTATCAAGGTGTTCGATATCATCTGCAGGAGTTCCATGGTCCGAATCGTCCAACCTCTCCAATAGAGCTGTTCAACCACCGTCATTCCTCACTAAGGACAACGGTCGAGCGAGCCTTTGCAGCTATTAATAATCGTTTCAAGATTCTTAGTAATAGACCTTTCGTACCCTTGAAATCACAACCCAAGGTGGTTATTGCTTGTTGCGTCATTCACAACTGGATTTTAGACAATGGACCCATTCAGTTTGTAGATGACGAACCAACTTGATACCACCACCTGCCGAGTAGCAATCGTGTCTCCGACCGAGAGAGTGATGTACGCGAGTGGGCAGCCAAGCGTGATTTGATTGCCCAACAGATGTGGAATGATAGAGAGAGATTGGCAAACAATTATGCTTCAGACAGCGGGAGCAGTGCTAGTACCATTTGAAACTACTTTGTTGTAGTACATTTCCCTCATTTAGCAGTTCCATGTTTAGACATTTTGTGTTAATCTAGCTTTGTAATTTTCTTTTCCGTGTATTGCGCAACTGTACTTTTAATTTGGAATGTACTGTTGGGTAATGTATGGATTGTCTGCTTGTGCTGAAACCCTTGTGTATTCGCTAACATATTAGCATATTGACTTCTGACCTTCATTTATAGAATGGGTGAGCAAAAAGAAGGTGCCAAGAGCGAGGTTGCTCGCTCTCGTGATAATTACATGTCATGGAGTGATGATTGTACCAAGTATATGCTTGAGTGGTATATCGAGAAGCAAAGGGACAAGCCACCAACCTTCAAGTGGAAGGCACAACACCATCTACAATGTGCTAATGATTTGAATGACAAGTTTGGAATTACAGCTACAGCGAAACAAGTTGATCGACACTATAGGTCATTCAAGGAGAAATGGAAGTGGATAAAGCTAGAAAAGGGGAGGAGTGGATATGGTTTCAATAAAGTACTTAACAAATTTAACATTGACAAGTCAGAGAAATCACCAAGCAAGCTTGGCATAAGTTCGCTTCAGCTCACCTTTCTATTTGTTTTTGCTAAACTGATTATCTAGTTTTTAATTTGAAAATGGCATGCCAGTGTTAATAGATATTCCTTTTTTGCATTTACCACTGTTGTGCACATTTAAATTGACCAGACTACTCAAACAATTTATTGCATTGATATTCTTTGGTTTATGTTGCAGAAAATTAAATTTAACTACCTTACTCACTCCATCAAGTTTTATCATCTCTTGGAAGAACTGTTTAGTGACCCGTCTCATGCGGATGGCTCACTAGCTATTGATGTGAATGATGCAAGTGAGAATGTGGAATCTGATGCTAGTAGTGAAACAAGCAACCACACATCCACTGTTGAACAAGGTCTTAGTGATTCCGACATGATTGCACCCAACAGTCCAGCAGAAGGCACTAGCTCAAATCTGAAGCGCAAGCATGTTAAAGCACCACATAAGAAACCAAAGGTCAAGGTGCATCGAGCCAGAGTGTTAGATGATGATGTGGCATCGAGCATTGTGAATCTTGCTGAAACTGTGAAATCTGCTGCCCCTATTCAGCCAATAGCAGCTACAGACCCTAATGCCAGTCTTTGGAAGCACATTGAGTCGCTAACTCTTCCAGCAAATGAGAAAATTGAGTTAGCAACCTATCTTGCTAAGCCAGAACAAGAAGTTTTCCGTGGTTTCCTGAACTGTGCTAGCGACCAGACTTTTAATGCTTGGGTCCTTGATTATTTCGGGCACAAGTATGACGGCAATGATCGCGCAGCTGCTGATCCATCAACCCGAATGACATGTTTGGTGGCTTTCTTTTGGCAAGTGCTTTTGTAGTCTACTTAGCTGCTTTCCATGCACTTATGCTAAGTGGAATTCCTGTGCTCTAAGGGTGTTTAGAGGGTCTTACCTTTTGTAATGCATTGTTGTAGCACAAATCTGATATAAGCTAGTTTGTCAGAAATTACTTGATGGCGGATGGCCTTGTGCATGCTACGTTGCAATATTGCAGTGGTATGAAAATGCTTCTAAATTAGTAAATTATGCCCATGGTATGACCTGGCGTGTAAATTATGTATTTGATTGCTTAGGTAACAAATTCCTTGTCGAGACGGGTTATGCATATTTGGTAACAAACCAATTGATAGACACTTGTTTTTTGCCAAATATTGGCAGAAAAATTGGCAACCAACCAATTGGTAGCCAAACTTGCCAAATGTTGGCAACTTCCAGCTTTGCCAAAAATAGGCTTGCCAACAATTGGCATGCCAAAAATTGGCTGCAAACCAATCAGCCTCGTACTTGCGACCGGAAACAATTTTGCCGTATAATTGTATTTTAGCTCTAATGTATGTATTTCCGTATTTGAGCGCTCGCCAGTCGCACACGACCTCATTTTGCCGAACGTGTGTGCCAGGAGGGCATATCCCCGACGGTTTCTCGGTCGTGTGGGAAGGACCACCTATCGCCCACACTCATTTGGCGACGGTTCCAGATGCCGTCGCGGAAAGGGGTTTTAGACCGTTTATTTAGGAGCTCGTTGTACTAGTGAGTGGTTTCGTGGCTCCCCTGGACGTTTTCAGGGTATGAGAGTATATATAGGCGAAAGAAGTAGGTCGGTGGAGCTGCAAGGGGCCCACGAGGGTGGGGGGCGCGCCGCCTACCCCGTGGCTGCCTCACTGCTTCCTTGATGTCCACTCAAAGTCTCCTGGATTCCGTTTGTTCCAAAAAGTATCCTCGCGAAGGTTTCATTCCGTTTGGATTCCGTTTGATATTCCTTTTCTGCGAAACACTGAAATAGGCAAAAAAAACAACAATTTGCACTAGGCCTTCGGTTAATAGGTTCGTCCCAAAAATAATATAAAAGTGCATAATAAGGCCCATAAACATCCAAAACAGATAATATAATAGCATGGAACAATAAAAAAATTATAGATACATCGGAAACGTATCAAGCATCCCCAAGCTTAATTCCTGCTCGTCCTCGAGTTGGTAAATGATAAAAACAGAATTTTTGATGTGGAATGCTACCTAACATAATTTTCAATGTATTTCTCTTTATTGCAGCATGAATGTTTAGATCCGAAAGATTCTAGACAGAAGTTTAATATTGGCATAAAAATAATAATACTCCAAGCAATGCTAACCAAGCAATCATGTCTTATCAAAATAACATGTCCGGGCGCGGTGGAAATTTTGTCCGGCGGCGGGAGGAGCGGGACTAGGGTTTGATCTGCGCGAGATTTCGGAGGGAGACACATATATATAGGTAGAGGGAGCTAGGAGAGTCCAAATGAGGTGCGGTTTTCGGCCACGCGGTCGTGATCGAACGACCGTGATGATGAAGGAGGTTTAGGTGGGTTTTGGGCCAAATTGTAAGGGTGTTGGGCTGCAACACAGACGAGGCCTTTTCGGTCCCTCGGTTAACCGTTGGAGTATCAAACGAAGTCCAAATGATACAAAACTTGACAGGCGGTCTACCGGTAGTATACCAAGGCCGCTTGGCAAGTCTCGGTCCAATCCGGAAAAGTTTAATCCCCACACACAAAAGGAAAGTAGAAATGACCACCGGAGGAGAACGGAGCGCCGGAATGCAAAACGGACAACGGGGAAAAAGCTCGGATGCATGAGACGAACACGTATGCAAATGAAATGCACATGATGACATGATATGCAATGCATGACACGCAAGTAATGACACGGCAACAACAACGAATAACTAGACGACACCTGGCACATTGGTCTCGGGGCGTTACAAATATGCTACAACACTCAAACATAGCAACAAAATACATGGCAGGGATCCACTCATGATGCTTGACAAAAGATGAACACTGAGCTACGGCTAATTCACTCATTAACAGGTTCAAACAAGCATGGCAAAAGTGCAAAAGATAACAGGTTTCAGACTTGGTGAAATTAACAGCATATCAGGAATTTATCATCAGGAAGCAATGTTTAGAGCACGATAACTACATGCTACAGGAACATATCATGGCAAATCAAGGCATGGCATGAAGCTACTCAAAGCATATAACAAAAGTCCCTTAGTGACCATGAGCCAAAAGGGATCAGAAAATACAATTGCAAGCATGTGAACATAGAAAAAACATAAAACAGATTCAGACTTGGTGAAAAACTGGAGCATTCAAAACAGTTAACAAGTAGGCATGTTCACGAGCTTGATGCACTCACTACAAAGCATGGCATGATAAACTAAGCATACACCCATAAAGAAGACATGGCATAGAAGCTAGACATGGAAAGAACAACAACATAGCATGCACGGATCAATAGCAACATCCTCGGCAAAATCGCTAAACATGTCAACAATCTGCCAGGAACATTTTATAGCAAAAGTAGAGCTCGATTGACTCAAGCTAGGGTGCTCCATAAATGCAAACAAAGACATGGATGGATGGAGCTCAATATTATCTACAAAACATCCTTACTGATCATCCTCAAAAGAGGCATGGATCACTAGGGAACAACATGAACATATGGCATAAAAACAAAAACATGACAAGGGCTTAGTGAAAGTCTATGTCCCTGAAATCAGCATCATTGAGTAAGCTACTTTGCATGCTTGTGCTAGTCACCACAAAGTTCACAAAAGTACATGGCATACACCCCTGTAAAGATGGCATGGCATACATCAAAACACATGTAGAGATCGGGATCATAGCATGCACACATTAAACATGGCAAAAATGACAAAAGGTCATTTGCTGAAACAGATCTGAAATAATCATCACATAGCCCTCTTCCAACAGCATTTCGGGCATCAAGATAAGCTCAAATGAAAATGATGCAATGAGATGAAATGATTTACTCATCGAGACAAACATTTTGATATGCTACATGCACGAATCGGATCTACGGATGCAGAGTTATGGCATGTCATAGATTGCAAATTATTTAGGGTTTGGAGGGGAAAAAAGTCAACCGATCCCAGATCCAGATCCACCGGGAGTACTGTAGCAGGGCGCGGTTCCCGAGGATGGCCGGCCGGAATCGAGGTCGCCGGAGCTCGTCGTCGCCGGAGGAAGGAGGGGAAGGAGCTTGGGGGCGGCGCGGTGCGCGAGGGCGGCGGTGGTCGGCGCCGGCGATGGTCGGGGAGGCCGAGCGAGGTGGGGTGGCGCCGGAGCAGTGCGGCGGCGCGCCGGTGTCGAGGAGGCGGGGCGGAGCAAGCGGCGACCGGAGAAAGGAGGCGTCGGCGCGGGACGGCAGCTCCGCTCGGGCGAGGCGGCGGCGCCCTGGGCCGCGGGGGCCCCGAGAGGGCTCGACGGGCCACGACGGTGGGTGACCCGGCGGTGGACACGTGGTGCTTCGGGAGTGGGTGGCGGCGGTGCGTCCGGCCGGATCGGACAATGTCGGGTGGCGCGCGAGGGAATTTTAGGGTTAGGGGGAGAAGAGACCCCGGATTTCAAGGAGGGGATCTATTTATAGAGGTAGGAGGAGCTAGGAAGCTCCAAATGAGGTGCGGTTTGCGGCCACGCGATCGTGATCGAACGCTCTAGATGATGGAAGGGGTTTTTGTGGGTTTTGGGCTACTTTGGAGGGGTGTTGGGCTGCAACACACACGAGGCCTTTTCGGTCCCTCGGTTAACCGTTGGAGTATCAAACGAAGTCCAAATGGTACGGAACTTGACAGGCGGTCTACCGGTAGTAAACCAAGGCCGCATGGCAAGTATCGGTCCAATCCGAAAACGTTTAACACCCACATACGAAAAGAGGTAGAAAGGACCACCGGAGGACATAGGAGCATCGGAATGCAAAACGGACAACGGGGAAAAAATGCTCGGATGCATAAGACGAACATGTATGCAAATGCAATGCACATGATGACATGATATGAGATGCATGACAAAGACAACACACACGGAGACAAAAACCCGACAACGATGAAATAGAATAACTTAGTGCCGGAAACGGCAAGAGTTGGGATACATATAAGGTAAATTACATTCGGGGTGTTACACTTGGGCATCACCAAGCATAGGCTCTTGCCACTCCTTGTTCCGAAATCCATCAAATCTTTACCCAAAAACTTGAAAACTTCACAACACAAAACTCAACAGAAAATCTCATGAGCTCCCTTAGTATAAGAAAACAAACCACCACTTTAAGGTACTGTGATAAACTCATCCTTTATTTATATTGGTGTTAAACCTACTGTATTCCAACTTCTCTATGGTTCATACCCCCCGATACTAGCCATAGATTCATCAAAATAAGCAAACAACACACGAAAAACAGAATCTGTCAAAAACAGAACAGTCTGTAGTAATCTGTAGGTTTCGAATACTTATGTAACTTCAAAAATCCTGAGAAATTAGGAAATCCTAAATAATTTGTATATTTATCTACTGCAGTTGGAATCAGTATTTTATCGCTCTCTCGTTAAAAATGAAAATTATCCCCATGAGTGCATACTTTCTGTTTTTTCAGCAAGATCAAATAACAATCATCCAAGAAGATCCTAAAGGCTTTACTTGGCACAAACACTAATTAAAATATAAAAAACACAATCATAACAGATGATAGATGATTTATTTATTACTAAACAGGAACAAAAAGCAAGGAACAAAAATAAAATTGGGTTGCCTCCCAACAAGCGCTATCGTTTAACGCCCCTAGCTAGGTATCTATAATTTTAATGATGCTCACATGAAAGAAGCAATTGAAACACAAAGGGAGAATCATGAAGCATATGAAAATCACATCTAAGTCTAACATACTTCCTATGCATAGGCATTATATAAGCAAACAAATTATCAAGACAAGCAAAAACTAGCATATGCAAGGAAGCGGAAAGAAACAATAGCAATCTCAAC